CCAATCTCCTAAATACTCTGAATCCTCTTTGACTTAAATCAGTCTTTGAGTGATTTCCTGCAGAATGTTTGTAGTTTTTATTTGAATATGTGACAACAACATAAAATGAAACAAAGAATAGTTTTATCAAAGAGTCATTCTCTGAAAAGTGGTAAGAATGCTCTACAGTTGGTTCTAAAATTGGGCATTTACAATGGAAACCAGTGAAATTACTTACAATTTCCAACACTTTTTAGATCATTGCATTTTGACAATTTTCCCCAAAAATATTCAGTTAAAGCTTGCCTCTTGCTGATAAAAAAAATATTTCCAGAAATGTATTTTTTAGGCTGGAACACCAGCAACATAGTAATTAGAGAGGGAGTAGGACTAAAGCACTTCATGAGAATTATTTTATTACAGACAGGATGCTCATATTATGCTCATTTAAAGCTTCCCAAATAACTATGAAAAATGAGAATGATTTGTTGCCAAATATAACTGTATAAAACAGACATATACATATAACTATGAGTTTAAAAAACAAAAAACAAAACCAAAGACAGTCAGCTTACTTGTGGATATTTCATCAAAATGTGCCGAGTGAGCAATAAACCTTGTAGTATCAGTTCCTGCTATATCCTTTACTTGAAGAATCCAGTAGTAGATGAAACTTGTAAATGATGCTTACAGATGGTGTATTATAAATGTAACAAATATTTCTAATACTAACATATCCTGGAGTACCTATAACTACCAACAAGCACAAGAGAAACAGTGTCCACTATAGGCAAGTTATGCTTGTTCATTGTTATTTAAATGCCTATCTAGATTGTTATATATTTTGTGTCCTGTGGTTTATATGATAATATATAGAGTGCATTCTGAAAGTACTCAGATACCCTTTTTTCACATTCTTTAATTTTTCAACTTTACCCTACAATTGTTTAGATTATTTTTTTCACAATAGTCTACAGTTGATACCCCTTAATGACAAAGCAAAAGCCAGAATTTCGAAACTTTGCAATTGTATTAAAAAATAAACTTAAACGTCACATTGATATAAGTATCCAAAGTATTCATCCACAAAGTGCAGCTTAGTTTTAGGGGCCCACTAGTGCAGCCCAAATTTAAACAAAGAGCATTCAAAGTACAGATGTTTTGGGACCCCTGTCCCTTTATCAATGATAAATGCCCATAGGTGTCCAGAAGATTTGTTGTGACATTTGAAATTTAGCTCAGATGTATCTCATTTGTCTGGATGGTCTTTGACATGTTTGTGATGTTTGACTGGAGTCCACCTGCAGCAAATTCAATTTATTGGACATGATTTGGATAGACACACATCTGTTTATAAAAGGTCTTACAGATGTAAATACTTATCAGAGCTAAACCCAAGCCTTTAGGTTAAAAGACACAGGACACAGGCACAGATAGGGAGAATTATAACGGGGCAGGGGGGTTATACCATCTATGTGCACAACAGCCAAGCTTTAAGTTAGCTCTAACAAATGTGAATATATTCTACACAAGAATTTAAACATATTACTTTTATACATCATATTGTGCTGCACTATTATTGTGTCTATTTTTGGTGTTGAACAACGCAAAGACCAATGTACGTATAAAACTTGTACACTTAGATTGGACACGGTATACGTTGTCTTCTTTCACGAGGTCTGGGAATCCTTGTACTAGTACTGCGACCTGCAATTTTAAGTTTTCTTAATAGTATAGTGAGCGCCTATTATTTTTGTTGTATAGCTTACATTTACATTGTTTATGTTTTGGTTTTTTGTTAGTTACATTCCAAGGAACTAAAGGGACATTCCACGCATTCTATTTTATTTAAAAATAAATAAAAGGTGATTGCGCACATAGTGGCTATATTTACCTCTTAGCATACAATTTGATGATAAAAACCTATATAACAAAAGCATATTTTGCTGCTTTTATTTTATGTATGAATAAAGCATTTTAACTTTATCTGGTTCCTGACTGTTCAACATCTGACTTAATCTTTAAGCTGATGAAATGCCTGTATAGTTCAGAGCTGACTCAAAACAGGGAGACTATAGTGGAGACTATAGTGCCAGGAAAACAAAGTTGTTTTCCTGGCCTTATAGCTCCCTATAGTGCTTTCCTCCATCACCGTAAAAAAACCCAGAAAAAACCTTCTTTTGCTTACCTCAGTCCAGCGACGATGTCCCATAGAGCTAGCTCGGGTACACCTCCACTCCATTCCCACCAATATCAGCAATGACCACACTCATATTAGGAGTTAAGCATTATACAGTGCTTTCCTATGGGGATACGGGTGACACTTTAAGTCCTCATGCATAGCATTAGGACGTCCACCATCAGTTAGGCAACCAAAAGTCCTCTAATAATACCTTTGCTGGGTTAAGGGACCTGGAACACTGCACCCAGACCACTTCAATAAGCTGAAGGGGTCTGGGTGCCTATAGTGTCCCATTAACTACACTACCTCAAATGTTTTTAACATACTATACCATGATGTTTTTGTTATATGGATTTTTATCTTTCATTGTATGCTGAGAGATAAAATAGTCACTGTGTCCACAATCACCTAATTGTATAAGTGACAGTATAGTTGGATAATTTTTAGCAAGTTTATATTTTGTAGCACCACTACCCCTTAGAATTTTGTTACTGTACTAACACAACTTTAATGCATTAAATAGGTTTTGGCTTCATTAATATGTTCAAATGTTTATAGTTTTTGAACAAAATTTTTTTTGCAGAATGCAGCATTATAATCCCGTTGATTATCCATGCCCCCTTACTCCACAAAAGTAAGAATAGCACTGCCTGTTCGTAGTTTCTCTAACTGTATGCAGCCAGGCTAATAGAAGAAAGAGCCTAGGCACATCGTGTAGTTTCCCAAATCAGCAGTCTTTATTTAAGAAACAAGGTACAGCAACGTTTCAACTGCTGTATTAAGCCTTTATAAAGCCTGGAGTATTTTTATTTTATTTTTAAATCAAAATAATTATCATTACCTTGATGGCGAGAAAAAACATTGTTCACACTAGGTGCTATAGAACAATTTGAAAAAAAAAAAGCCAAGCAGTGTAATGGTAAAATGAACCTGATACCTCTCCTAAGTTAAGCCTTGCAATGTAGCGAGCTCTAATGGTTATGGTGCTTGGAGTGTTCCTTTAATAAAATGTCAGTGCCATCAGAGTTAAAGTAATACATTGCATATAAATATTGGTATAAATATAATGACAGATCTACAAGAATAAATCAGATGAATAATTCAATCAAAACGAATATACACAAAATATATACATATACATAAATAGCACACTGTAATTACCCACTAATTGTAAATGTAGTTCAATAATGACTTAAGCAAAGAAGGCATTACTTTGATTGACACTATATTTACCAGAACAACTACAGCCTAATGTATTTTTCTGGTGAGTATAGTCAGTCCCTGTAGGCTTTTCAATGTAAACACTGCCCTTTCAGGTAAAAGGCAGTCTTTACATTGCTGCCTATGAACACCTCAAGTGGCTTTCCCTCAGATGGCCACTAGAGGCGCTTTCTGTGTCAGTGCTGCAATAGCCTCCCAATGCTTTCCTATTGGAGGCAGATACCCGCATGGCACTGCAATAAAGGTATATTTTCTCCCTTTTTAAAGAGAGCCTAGCGGCTTAAAATGTGTTTTTAACACTATACTGTCAGGAATATTAATGTGTAGTTTTCCTGACACTATAGTGTTGCTTAACCTGTTGTAGAAACAGCGAAGAATGAGGACAAACATTGAGCAGGACAACTATTGCAGTTTCTGTTTTAACATACTTGGCTGACAATCAAATTATTTGCTATTTACACTTTGCTCCTATGGAAATTAACAAAGGAGTAACATAATAGAGGCCTCCAGTGTGTAAAATAATTGTACTCACAGGTGTTTGACATTTCCCTGGTGATGTTTTCTAAGATATAAAGAATAGGATTGTCTTTTTCCAAGAATATATAAACCCATGTGAGCAGCTCTTCTTTCAATAAGACGATCATAGTTCTCACCTATAACATCAGAATGATACATGATATACTTTATAAAGAACAAAAGACTGCATGAATTAAGGAAACCCCTTTAAATGGACCTTGGAAATATTTCTTAAGCAGGCAAACAATATGTTATTTAGCTTGAGTGTGTTGGAGAGCAGGGCCGCCATCAGGGGGTGACAACCGTGACAGTTGTCACGGGCCCGGCGGCCCTGGGGGGCCCGGACTGCTCTGGCAGTCCTGGGCCCCACTTTCCCTTTCTGCACACATAGATAGCGAATATCGCGATCAGGGCCGCCATCAGGGGGTGACAACCGTGACAGTTGTCACGGGCCCGGCGGCCCTGGGGGGCCCGGACTGCTCTGGCAGTCCTGGGCCCCACTTTCCCTTTCTGCACACATAGATAGCGAATATCGCTATCTATGTGTGCAGCCGCGGGCCCCCTGCTCCCTGTTACCGCAGAGGGGGCCCAGCCAGGCAGCACACAGCTTCCCCTCTCTTCTCATAACTCTCGCGAGACCCGCGGAGCGTTGCCATGGTAACCGGGTCTCGCGAGAGTTATGAGAAGAGAGATGAAGCTGTGTGCTGCCTGGGCCCCCTCTGCGGTAACAGGGAGCCGGGGCCCCACCCCCACCAGACCACTAGGGATGGAATCTCCCCCCTCCATGGACACAGGTAAGCAGGGAGGGGGGAGAAACATTTAATTAAATTAATGTTAAAATGCCCCTTCCTCCCCCTCACCCCAGATCACACACTAACAACACACACTGCATACAATAACACACATACACTGCATACACTAACACACATACACTGCATACAATAACACACACATACACTGCATACAATAACACAACACATACACTGCATACAATAACACACACATACACTGCATACACTAACACACACATACACTGCATACACTAACACAACACACACACTGCATACACTAACACACACACACACTGCATACAATAACACACACATACACTGCATACACTAACAACACACACTGCATACAATAACACACACATACACTGCATACACTAACACACACATACACTGCATACAATAACACACACATACACTGCATACACTAACACAACACACACACTGCATACAATAACAGACACATACACTGCATACACTAACACACACACATACACTGCATACACTAACACACACATACACTGCATACACTAACACAACACACACACTGCATACACTAACACACACATACACTGCATACACTAACATAACACACACACTGCATACAATAACACACACATACACTGCATACACTAACACACACATTCACTGCATACACTAACACACACATACACTGCATACACTAACACAACACAAACACTGCATACAATAACACACACATACACTGCATTCACTAACACAACACACACACTTCATACACTAACACACACACTGCATACAATAACACAACACATACACTGCATACACTAACACAACACATACACTGCATACACTAACACAACACACACTGCATACAATAACACACACATACACTGCATACACTAACAACACACACTGCATACAATAACACACACATACACTAACACAACACACTGCATACA